AGTTTTGCCCCAAATGAAAGTTATGCCCTGAGATACTACCCCAGGTGAGAAATGATGGTGGCTTGAACTAGGAAAGCTGCAGGAGATGTGAAAGGGTTGGAGTCAGGCTGTACTTTGCAGAGAACCAAAAGAGGACTTGGTGTAATGTATTGGGATGTTAAGAAATGAAGAAAACGAGAATCAAGGATTTAAAAACAAAATAAAATTTAACAACACAAACTGCCAAACCAAATTCATAATTCAAAATCTAGAAGAAATCCCAAGATAGAGCAAACTCAAAGAATCAAAAAACTGATTTGATAATAGTGAATTCATTCTTTCAATAGCAAGAATTAGTAGCTGGGCATGGTGGCACACACCTGTAATCTCAGCACCTGGGAGGCTGAGGCAAGAAGGATTACCATGAGTTCCAGGCCAGTGTGGACTACATAGTGAGACCCTGTCTCAAAAAACTACAATAAAATAAATAAAGCAAGAATTATTTAATTGTCCCATCCTCCTCGGATCTAGGCATTACATAGAAGCATAACAAGGCTACTTTATAAGGTAGGCAATCAATGGATACTTCTGAATTGAAAACAATTGATGCTAACTTGATTTGTACATAATACCAAAATTCCATCATTAGTCTTTCTCTTTCTGCTTTTAAATATGGGATTTTCAATTAAACAAAAAGTAAGCATGTTGATTTCCTTTTCGGGGGGGGGCACAGTTCTTTAGTAACCTATACTTAAACAGTTTCAATCTTGTTCTTTAAAATTTCATTTCAAAGAATTACTTTTTAAAAGGAATTTTAAAACATTACAGTGCTAGACCATGAAGAGTGAGTTTTAAGGTTAGAATATGAATAAGTAGGTAAAAGGGCAGAATGTTTTCCAGGAACAGTGAATCAGCTTCTGACATGATTTTTCTTCCACAAATCAATCTCTTTTTTTTGTTGTGTTTTTGTACCAGGTACTGAACTTGGCACCTTATGCTTGCAAGGCAGGCAGCGTAACCACTGAGCTAAATCCCTATCCCACACAAATCTTTTTTAAAAAAATAGTGAACCATTTCAAGAAAGAGTAGGGCTAGGGATTTGGATCAGTGGTTCTGCCTCCTGTGAGCGCAAAGGCTGAGTTTGATCCCCAGTACCAAAAAAAAAAAAAAAAAAAAGTAAAATACTGAAAAAATAAAGTGCTGCAATTCAGATATTATTTATATTCCTTTGATTTTTTTATTTTAATTTCTAACCTTTTTGGATCACAAGGATGTAACTCATAATAAAAATATAAACACCTTAAGTGCTATTTGAAAACACTTCAATATACATATCATAATGAAATGACAAAAAAAACGTTTTTTAAATGTAGGATTTCTCTCTGAAGTTTAAATGTGAGGCAGACAGACGTTTGTCTTTCAAACAGATGGAAGCTCAGAACATTTCCAATATATATGAATCTGAATTTTGTGTTATATTTTATGTCTGAGATAGCTAACCAATTAGTTGATGGCTAGTATTTCTGTACTCATTGCTTTTCTTGTCTTACCTTCTAACATTTAGCAATTCAGTGTTTCTTTTACAGTACTACATGCTTTTTATTTTTCTATATGCTTTTTATAACTTGCTCTGTGATTTGTAATCGTATGTATAAATTGTACACCACTTAAGACATACTCAATAATAATACCAACTCACAGAATCCAGTATAATTATTTTGAGGTTAAAAAAGAAATACAAATTGTCACCAATAAAATGAGTTTATTTTATTAAGATTTTTAAAAATACACTTGTAAAATTACCCACATTCTGGGCTAAAAAGTAGCTTTTACAAAGAGAGTAAACCTTTCTAAAATTATTTATTTTTATTTATTT